GCCAAGTGCCCCAAAGGGAATGAACAGAACAAGTAATCATCAAGTGATCTGTCGCCCATTCCCAGCTTCATGTGTTTTATCAGATCTTGTTTTTTGAAGAACATCAATATTGAAGGCTCCATTTTATCTCTTATGAGGAGGAAGCATGTTGAAGCAGTGGTGTCAGAGGTATTATGTAGTTGAAAAATAAATATAACATCTCTACACCTTAAAAATAGCATAGCAAGCACTCCTCCCAGCACAACCATCTATCATGTGGGAGCCACACCCACGCACACCCCAAACATATCCTCTCTGCAGCCAGTCATAGCTATTGCCAATAGTAGCCCCTTGCACACTGCAGTGCTGGGAGACCAGTTATAGCTATCTGACATACTGGTAAAATATTTTGCATGACCCCTCTATGACTAATGGACAAAGGATAGTCACCTGCTTCTGATCCCCACCTATCTGACTTGGTCATCTAGGTCAAGTGTTAGAGGTTGAGCTTTAAAGCTAGAACTCTTGGTTTCCATTCCCACTGATGACATAACCAAAGGGGAGTTACAACTGGTGTAGCCCACATGGGGATCTGAACTGCTATATGCTGCAGAAACGTGGACTAAGCTTGCAGAGAAACTTGCAAAACGTGCTGTGTCTCCTGTGTGGGCTAATCCACAGATGACCGTCCCCAGCAAATTAATTTAGTTCTTTAGTTCAAGTGGTAGAGGTCTGTGCTTTGCACATGTTCAGTTGCTGATGATGATCCAAAAAGGGCAACATAGCACAGCTGCTTGTGTAGGCATACTGACAGGGAAAGTTCTCTGCATCTTGTCTTCCCACCAGTGTACCTATGCAGGGGCAGGTATAAATTAGCTTGTAACCTTGTCTGCCTATGCCTACTGTGAAACAGTTCTTCAGAAGACACTGATACATCTCAGGTCAGTTGGCAGTTCTGTAAGAAATCTATGGCAAATTATCTGCAGGATTTTCTTCTACATCAGCAGTTGGTAAGAAGTTTTTCAAAACTTTATTTTTAATCATTGTCTTGGGGACAATAAATAGAAGAACATCTGTACTTAACATTTCTCCTCTTCAGAAATTCTTCATATTCTGCAGATATGAAATGAGGTCCATTTTAAATTACTAGTGCTTTTGGATTTCTTTCATGTTAAAAATGTTGAATGGATGACTACTATGGAAGTAGTCATGGCTTCTTCTAGCCACCCAGCTGAAGTAATTAAGTACTGTAATGCTAATACTTTTACGAAAGGTCCTAATATACTGCTCACAATTTTTTTTCTGTGTAGTACTAGTATTATGGGAACTGGATGTCATAGTGGCATGTATGTCTTATCTGATTTCTCATGCATTTCATAAATGTCACAGGATCTTATAACTTTCTCAATTTGAGATTCCTCCCTCTGGCTACCAGGAGCCTCTGCTTCAGACAACTCCTGTAATCATGGGGTTCATGAGCAAACTCAAGAAATCTGGATGAAAAGTCATGGGGGAAAAATCAAGGACTATATATTGCACGTGGTATAAGCCATACAGAGCTAATTGATCAGAAATGGAAAAAGAGGAGAAGACAACCGGATTTGCACTCTCTTGGTCATCCTGCAATTGGGACATCTCACACACGACATGTTGCAGAAGGTGCATTGAACTGTTTTGTAGACGCTGTACTAAGATCACCAATGAACACTTGAACCATTTCAACACCATCTTCCAGGTAAGTATTAGTTACTGGCAAAACAAAGCAAGACAGGCAATGTACAGTGACATTTTCACATCCTGACTTCTGTTTTCTATTATATGTAAAAGACAGCAAACAAACCAACCACCATACAATGTGTATCAGTCTCTGCATCGACACTAATGGGTTAGTAATCAGCCTTTTAAAGTAAGTTTACGTCTCTCAAGGTTTAGTACCCTATGTTTCAGTCACCCAGACTCAGATGAGGACTTCTGTTTTAACCATTAAAATATTTTTATTTCAGCCCATGATTGTGTGTGTACCTGTACCTTAATAATCCTGCAGGGGTAGGAAACAAAGAGAAATTCTCTTCATGGAGTTTCCTGTGTATTCTTCCATTGGAGGCGGCAACAACAGCTGAAACAGGAAATTCAGCCACCAAATTTCATAAATCTCCCCAGAATCACCAGAAACCTAGGTCAATATGAATTTGAGGCATCAACACCTCCCTGCCAATTTTGGAATCTGGTGAAATACCCTACGCTACTTTCTGCCAATGTGGCTGCATTGAAGCCAAAGTACTAGGGCTTATATATTACAGCTACCCTCATGACCTTCCCTTAAAAGGGGACTCTCATTGTTGAGGGCATTATCTCTATGGAATAGCTGTATTAATTTACCATGGACAGCTACACAGAGCTGGTTGAGATTGATGTGTGTGGCGGGGGATGATGTTTAATCTCTGCCCCCACCTCAGCCCTAACACTCCTTTTCTATTGGTCCTGCAGTTCAAGCAGGGGTTAACATCCTGGTTTCAGCACTGCTGGTATTGTGTCAATTTGCTGCTCTGATGTTGAGAGACAGACCTTTGTGAGGTCACTGGCTCAGTAGCTTGTTAGCCTGAGATCAGTACATGTTGTTTTGTGAACTCACTGGCTCAACTGTTGTAGACTTGCTGGACTGGTCTCTGTGACATCACTGACTGCACCTGTAGCTTATTGGTTTGATGTCAAGGCATATGTGCCTTCAGCCCCTCTAGCTAGCTGGGTTGATTTCAAGACGATAATTGTAATACATGATGTAATTGTAATGCACAATGCATCATGTAATTCATGATAGATAAAGGAAATCTGTTCCTTTAAAAATATTTGTATCTGGATAGTTGAAAAAGCAACTGGGTAAAATGACCATGAGTCCCAGCTTTCCTGGGAGAGACTTTATTTGATGTCCTGGGATCTGAGGAACTAATTTTTGAACCACAGAAATGCTCTAGTTTTTTATTCCATCAATAGAATTTTTTAAATAACTACTCTGTTTGTTGCAGATATATTGTTGTTGCCGTCCTAGAGAAGGCCCGAGGGGGCAACAGGGTCCGTTGCCCGGTGTGCTTTGCACCAATGAAGACACTGAGGTGGAGAAACAAAGCAAATTTATTCGAGATCTCTGAATAGGCACTAGGAGACCAGCATGTCTCAAACAAATTTCCCTTTTTATACTCCAAGCTGTTTCTGTGTAAGCCTTTGTCTATTTCACCCCTACCCTTCCTTTCCAAACAACAGTTACAGCAGGGACACATTGTGCATGTTAGAAACTTTCCCTTCGCCTGCTTATCTTTTAGCTTTGTAGATTCATGCGCACGCAGTCTTTCCCCCTCCTACTTTTCCCCGCACTTATCACTACAGTGTTTGCTAGTGTGAACGAATCTGCAGCTGTCTGCTAGAAAAGCTGACCATTACATATTCTGCTTTTTAGGCTGTCAGCACTCTAGGCTGGGTAATGTTCACAAGATGGAGTTACTGTGGCTCACATAGACCCAGAGCAGAAGAGCTTCATCGACACTTCTGGCCTTCCATTCTCCTGAGTTACCTGGTAGCTATGTCTAGTGACACCAACAGTGTTATAGAATGGAGAATGTGCTCTCTTGTCAGGAAGAAACAATCTAGTGGAATGAATGCACACGGTGATGAGCAGCATTTGAAGTGAAGAGAAAAGTCCAAGTGCCGTTTAGCTACTATCAAAGTTGTTCTTCTGGTCAAAAGTGCATGTTAACCATATTTGTTCAGTGTTTCATGATACACGTTCAGAACTCAGTTACTGGAAAAAATCTGCCACTCTTAAGTAATATGCAGGTGTCACTGGGGAGCCAGAAGAAGCTGGCAATATCAGAACACATTCTAAGAAAAATCTACTTTTATCTTTTGAAGGACTATTTCATGCCCCTAAAAATGTTACCACAAAAGTGTCCTAGTTTATGATTTTTTAACGCGTGGTCATCACCTTACAGCTAGGTGATATAATTGGTGCTTCACACACTTAACACATAGGAAAAAGGCAAGGAAGACAAATATATACAAAGCGGAGGTTGGGTGAAACAAAATGCCAGATGCCAGTCGTTTTCAAGTAAGGGGTGATGCTGCACTCTTAATTCATGCTGGTTTTTGTTTGTTTGTTGGTATGTATTACATGTAAAAGACAACAGAGAGGCAGATCACCATCCACCAGGAATCAGTCCTGTCCTAATTTTTAAAAGAATTTAGTGCTGGTGGAATATGCCAGATTGAGACCTTTGGAGCACGAAGTCCCACATTTTGCTACAGAAATGGCAACACACAGGAAGCAGCTGAACAGGCATCCTTCAGCACTGAGACTCAATACTGATTGTGAGGCACCAACTCATAGTGAAAGGATACCTTTTTTCCATACCAATTCGTTCATTGGCCTCTAAGATGAGTCAGTTCTTAAACTGCAATTCTGCACTTCTATCATTTTGGACAGATGATTGTGCAGCTCAGTTTGCACATCTTTCACAGATTCTCCGTTTAGAAAAGAATCGCCTGCACCGTAAATACGGTCACAAGTTTGGCATGATTAAATATCAGAGGAGGTCTCAGACGCCCCAGACCATCTGAAGAGCCTGCCCCCTTCTGGTGTTTCAGCTGAATCAGGAAAGTCTGCATGAGCGTTGAATAGTACAAGTTGACATAAAACCTTCAGTTCTTACAAAGTGAAATATGGTACTGTGCTTTAAGCCCTAGAATGTTGCTCGTGGGCTGGAAATTAAGAATCTGGATATGGACAAGCTTTTCCAATTGCCTTTGGAACAGGTGCTACTGCAAGCTGTGAAAACAAAAAACTGAGCGCCAGCAATTCCCATAGCTTTCTAGAGCAATGCAGCACAAGCCTGAGGGAGGCTTCCTATATGTAAAGACTAAATGACAAGGCATATGTAGTGTAATCATGACCTATAACTATAGATAGAAATATAAATATATATAAATATATATATATTCTATTTACATTTAATTTATATTATTATATATGCTATATATATTAAAAGAAGAAAAATTCTCAGATTTTTGCCAGCTGGAAGAAGTTGAAGAGGATATTGAGGAATCCTTGAACTAAATGCATGTTTTATATTCCCGAAAAAATGATGCTGCTCAATCGGAGTTGGAGCAACCATAATGAGTTGTGAGCAACCTTTGGGTCAGATTCCCCTGGGGTTTATTATGGTGTGTTCTGACATGAAACCTGGGGCAGTTCCCCAGCAGTGGAAATCAGCTAGGGGAGGAAGTTTCAGTGGCCCAAATTAGCTGCTACCTTCTTTCTGCCGGGAGAGGATAAGGCACTAGGAGGGGGATGTGGCCAGACTTTTCCAGAGACCCTTTTCAGAAGTTCCCACTGGTAGAGCTCCTGTTGGGCCCATGGCAAGAGTGAAAGCTGCACCTTACTCTTAGCAGCAAACTCGTTGGAAGGAAGTGGCGGAAACAATGCCTGACCTCCTTCAGGGTGGCTGCTACTTGGGGACAAGGGATCTCACTGGGCCAGGGAGGAGTAACTTACATCTGCCCCATTGTGTGCTGTGAACAGAAGTCTGAGCAGTGCACAGTGCTGATTGGGGCAGGAGGGAGGGTTATACTATTCCAAGGATACATAATGTAATGTTAATGAATTGATGTAAATATGCGCATTTTTGTTACAGAATTAAATCCAAGGTGCCATTCTAAGGGAGGGTAAGTAGACTCTGGAATACAAAACTGGGACATTTCTATCCTCATCAGTGTCATTGTTTGCTTATTTGTGATGGTGCTTTCCACACATTCAGGAAAGGACAGTCCCTGTTTCCAGGGGCTCACAGTCTAAAGATGGACAGACAAGTAGAGAGACTTCTTCTTACAATCTACATAATGCCTAGAGTGTGCTAGGCACTTTACACAATGCAATTGCTACCCCAAAGAGCTTACAATCCATGTCTACACTGCAAGCGAAGGTATGTTTGTAGCACAGGTGGGCATACCCTCTGCTAACTTTAATCTAACAAGTATGGGTAACAATAGCAGTGAAGACGTGATGGCACAGGTTAGCAACACAATCACACATCCAGGCTCCCCGGCAGGCTTGTACTTAGGTTGCTAGCCTGTGCTGAAGCCCATGTCACCATATCTACACGGCTATTGTTACCTGTGCTAGGTAGATTAAAGCTAGAATGGATATGCCTATTCCCACCCCGCCCATCACACCCTCACTTGCACTATAGGCATACCCATAGAGACAGTCACAGAGGTTAAAGCAAACGGCGTTATGCCTCTTCCTGCTTCTTCAGCGGCTGATGAAATGAGGACTCATCAGGCAAGAGAATCTCAACTGGGAGGAGCTGGTACCTAGCAGGGGAGTGTATGAGTCTCCAAGCATTTCTTCCAGTAGGCAGAACAGCGCCAGTGCCTAAGGGGAAAAGATTTGCCCAACATGTGAATCTTCCTCTGCCTTTTTTTCCCCCTGCAGAAAGATCTGTCCCCTTGCTGGTTCCCACTCCCCTCCAGATGGCCTGGAGTGCAAGAAACTGAGAGCCCGCTTCTTTCAGCTTCCTCCTTGTCCAAGGGAAAAGGGAAACCCTGTCACCTCCCCCTCCCAAGGCAGAATCCAGGGGAAACAATGTCCCTCTCACCTCTCTCTCCCATCATGGCACCCCACTGAGGGGTGCATGGGTGGTATGGGGGTTCCTATATACGGCTTCGCATTGTGCAGGCATAGACACATACTTCTGTATGGCTGGCCATGATTCTGTCTGAGAACCTAGGCTCCTTTCAGATACGTGTATTTCATTTCCTCTTTTGTTTTCTTCATGAACCCATCACATTTCCCATCACACAAATAGAAAATGCAAGATTACTTCACCACATGATGTCAACACCTATGATGATGATGTGCCACCAGAGTTGCTGACCTCACCCTCCAATGTTCATCTAATCTTCTCCAAACACTGATGCTGAGCCAGTAACCTCATAGAGACCTAGGCTATCACATCAGCCAAAGAAGCTAGTTGTTATTTATTATAGTACTCCTGAAGTACTCAGCCAAGATCATGGCTCTGTTGTGCTAGGCGCTGTACAAAAACATTTAGAGATGTTCCCTGCCCCGAAAGGGCTTACAACAGGGGTCTGCAACCTTTCAGAAGTGGTGTGCCGAGTCTTCATTTATTCAATCTAATTTAAGGTTTCGCATGCCAGTAATACATTTTAACTTTTTTAGAAGGTTTCTTTCTATAAGTCTATAATATATAACTAAACTATTGTTGTATGTAAAGTAAATAAGGTTTTTAAAATGTTCAAGCAGCTTATTTAAAATTAAATTAAAATGCAGAGCCCCCCCCCAGACCAGTGGCCAGGACCAGAGCAGTGTGAGTGCCCCTGAAAATCAGCTTGCATGCCGCCTTCGGCACGCATGCCATAGGTTGCCTACCCCTGGCTTACAATCTAACTAGACAAGACTAACACAGAGTGGGAGGGGAAACAGAGGCATTGAGAATGGAAATTATTTGCCCAAGACCACATAGCAGGTCAGTGGCAAAGCCAAGAACAAACCCAGGTCTCCTGACTCTTCAAGTCCAGTGCCATGTCCACTAGGTAATGCTATGTCCCTTAATTTAAGATGACACACTCATTTTAGGTAAGGGCTATTTCTTTATCCATATTGGACCATTGTTTTATTTACCCAGGAGACTGGCTGACAGAAGAGGCTCCAAGCATCCTTTCTGACTGTCACTTCCCTTGTGGAAAAGTATGACAGCATGTAATATGAATTATGACAGGGATAAAACCAATAGAGGTCTATAGAAAGTGAACAGGTTTCTGTTAAAAGATGCTCTAAAAACCTATAGAATTTGATAGCAAATGAGAGCCTTTCTATAGGTCGGTTGCTTTAACCCATCCTAACAATTCTATAGCAGGTTAATAATTTTCTATTAACGTCAATAGGATCATCCAAAAATTTATAAAAGTATTCTTTTCATTGCATTCTATAGAATTTTTCCAGAAGGATGTTCCTTACCAAAGGATCTCATGTTTATGCCATCATCAAAAAGGCCACTTTAATGAATGAACAGTTTTTGGCTGAAAAAAATTATTATAATGGAAAGCATTTTAAAAATCAAGTATCCGGGGGTAGCCGTGTTAGCCTGTATCCACAAAAATGACAAGGAGTCCGGGGGCACCTTAAAGACTCTAGACTCTAAAGATGCATCTGAAGAAGTGAGTTTTTTTGCCCACGAAAGTTTATGCCCAAATAAATCCATTAGTCTTTAAGGTGTCATTTTAAACTCCTTGTCATTTTAAAAATGTGTATGTAATATTTTTCATTGTTCCTACAGTGCTTTTGTTTATAATGTTTAGAAAGGTCTGTATTAAGGATGGTAGAACAATTCAGGACAACCAAAATTGCTGACATTTTGTTAGTGCAGAAGGGGCCAACCAGATTAGAGTTGGAGAGAAGTTTAAGAAACAACATAGGTCCTGATGTTCAATTAGCAAGATGCATAAAATGGATCTGAAACTGCAGTTAGGTGTGAGAGCCATTGATAGGGTAACAAAAGGCAAAGGTTGAGGTTTTGAAAGCCCAACTAGGGAAATTAGAACAATTAGTGGAGTAGGACAATTAGCAGAATCAGAATTGAATGATTTTAATGTGCTGTGTGTGTGTGTGTGTGTGTGTGTGTGTGTGTGTGTATGTAAACACACACACCTATATCTATCTATCTATACACACACTTAGCTGGACATTGGTCAGACTTGTGCATGAAGATCTTGATTCGATAGCTGGACCATAGAGAATATCAGCCAGCTAATGGAAGTTCTCGTTTATCTCCTGTTACAGAGGCCTATGTTTTTGCAGAAAAAAATCTTGAGTTCTGTCCTGGCTGCTGGATGTGTGAATTCTATCTAGCCTGCTAGAGGTGTTGACTGTGATATTTATATATATATATGCCATCACAGATTTGTTGCAATATGTTATATGAATTAGCTGATCAGGTACCTCCTCCCCGAGCTGCTTCTTTTGGTCCCAAATAGATTCAGTGCTCTCAAGCTGTGACCATTTGAAGGAGATTTTCTAAAAACCGAACAAGGTTTTAAATATCTCATTGAAACATATCCCCATATCCCTCATCACAAGAGCATTTTAAAACTGTAAATCTTATTCCAACACAAGGAGTCTCCCTCCAAATGAGCACAACTTGGCAGGACTGTAGTGTTCCTGATTGTCCTCTCACACACTAGTCCTGAAAAAGGTGTCATTTAGTGGGATTTAAGCTTAGAAAGTACCTTATGTATGTGATTGCATGACAGTGTGTGTCTTGGCTACACAGGCTCTTTCTACACTAGAAAATTTAGTACATATTTTCCAGCATCAGTACAACCGTACCTTTGCTAGCAATAGTGTAAGCACTAGCATAGACCGGAATCAGGTGTTTTTACCACTATGTCATGAACATCTGCTCTGATTAAATTAGACTTACGCTCGCCTACAAGTTGTCTGCTGAATTTGTATGACACTTTACTAGATGCTTTGCACATGTGCAGTGGGTATTTGCAAGTATAATTTAGGGAAATACAAATAATTACATTTCCCTAATATTGAAAATCTGGCCCTACTCTGGGCAGGTTTTCATGACACAGTGGTAGAGATAGTTGAGGCCATCCATACTAGCATTTATGCTGATGCTAGAAGTGGTGCTGTTGCACCTTTGCTGGAAAATGGATACAAAGTCCCCAGTATATCAAAAGCTTCTGAAACTTGAAACTTACCAGACAACTTTTCAGTAGCCAAGAGGCAGAAAATCAGAATGAAAGAGCAGATTGTTGTCACTGTTCACATAAATAACTCAAAGAGGACCTTCATTAATAAATATTAAAGTTCACAGCTGGGTTCAAAAAAATTATACTGGCATGACCAGATCCACCCAATGTGTGCCTTTGATGGGGCATCCACCACACAGTGGCATGCAAGAGGTTAATAGGGCCCTCGGGAGGCTGTGCAGGAAGCAGGCAATAGGAGAGGAGCTGTGAGGAACAGCCAATCAGGGCTCAGCTGGCATGTATAAGAAGAGCCGCAGGGCAGAGCAGGGTCAGTTACTCCCTGGAGCTCAAGGAGAGGGGACTGGGTGCCTGGCAGACAGATGAAAGCTAGTACCCTGGACAAAGCAGTGCTAGCAGGGACCAGGGGAGCTAGAGAAGAGCTGCTGGCTGGCTGCTGGATTTTGCAGGCTGAGGCTCTGCGGCAAGGGTGAAGAGGGTGCTGGGACCACAGGGAAGTGGCTGGACAATTGACTACAGTTGCCACTGGGGAAGTGACAGGACAGTTAGACTGCAATACTTGCCCCCGAAAGGGGGGGGGGGTACAGATCATGACACTTCCAGAGGGCTGTGTTATGAAGAGAACACTACAGTCCTTGGAGTGATGTAGGTCCAGGATCAGAAGTGACAGTGGACGAGGCATCACTGGGACTAGGCATACTGACTTGCAGAGCTAGCCCCCAAGACGCCCAGCAGGAGGCACCAGCGTGGTGAGTGGAGCCCAGTCACAGGACCCATGGGCCCAAACTATCATACACCCAACTGTTTCCTAATGTAATCATCCCTTTCTTTTAAGACAGCAGCCCCACTTCTTCTATTTCCCCAAATTCAGTCTCTTCACTTGTACCACATCTACACGGTGGCTGGCACATTGCTTCTCTGCTATG